GAATGCCAAGAGCAGTCCAGTCTTCCTTCACTTATTCGTATTTCTCTGGAGTTTAAGGATCCTCAAGAAGATAGTGGAGGCAACAGTATGGATTTGCACAACTTTGGGCAAAAAATGTAATAGTTTTACTCCTTTATAAAAAAATCTTTATTGTTGAGATTATTACAGATGTCCTTCTTTTCCCTTCCCCATTGCTACCCTCCAGCTTGGGCCTCCTTCACCCCAGGCCTTCACCACACTATTGTGTGTGTCCATAGGTAATGCATATATATATATATATATATATATATATATATATATATATATATGATCTTTATTTAATCTATTTCCATCCTCTCACCCTCTTCCCTCTGAGAATCATCAGTTTGTTCCATTTCCATGCCTCAAATTCTATTTTATTCACCAGTTTATTCTGTTCATTAGATTTCTTATTCATTAATTTTGATTTTTAGATTCAATTGTTGATAAGTATGTATTTGTTGCCATTTTGTTGTTCATATTTTTTACCTTTTTCTTCTTCTTTTTCTTCTTCTCCTCTTCGCAAAGAATATCCTTCAACATTTTATATACTACTGGTTTGGTGATGATGAACTACTTTATCTTTCTTTTATATGAAGCTCTTTATTTGACCTTCAATTCTAAATGATAACTTTGCTGGGTAAAGTAATCTTGGTTGTAGGTCCTTGGTATTTATCATTTTGAATATTTCTTGCCACTCCTTTCTAACCTGCATAGTTTCTGTTGAGAAATCAGCTGACAGTTATATGGGCAATCTCTTGTAGGTAACTAACTGCTTTTTTCTTGCTGCTTTTAAGATTCTCTTTTTGTCTTTATAACTTGGCATTTTAATTATAATGTGTCTTGGTGTGGTTCTCCTTGGGTTCCTCTTGTTTGGGACGCTTTGTGTTTCCTGGACTTGCAAATCTATTTCTTTTACCAGGTAGAGGTTTCCTGTCATTATTTCTTCAAATAGGTTTTCAATATATTGCTCTCTCTCTTCTTCTGGCACCCCCATAATGTGGATGTTGATATGCTTGAAGTTGTCCCATAAGCTCTTTAGATTATCTTTTTTTTTTAATCTTTATTTTATTTATTTATTTATTTATTTATTTATTTATTTATTTTTGCTTTTCTAGTTGGGTTTTTTTGCTTCCTCATATTTCAGATCATTGATTTGATTCTCAGAGTCCTCTACTCTACTGTCAAATTCCTATTGTTCTTTATTTCAATCAGTGTATGCTTAATTTCCAACTAGTCCTTTTCTAATTTTTTTAGGTTTCTAGAAGATTCTTGAGTAACCATATAACCATGATTTTGAACTCTATATCCAGTATTTTGCTTTCTTCCATTTCTTTCCTTTGTGACATATTTCTTTGTCTCTGCATTTTGGCTCCTTCTCTCTGTTTCTATGTATTGGGTAGAGCTGCTATGTCTCCTTAATTTGCAGAATGGCCTTGTGTAGTAGGTGTTCTATAGGACCCAATGGATTAGCTTCCCCAGTTACCTGAATGGGAAGCTCTAGGTGCACCCCTTGGTGGGCAGTGTGCACTGTCCTGTTATAGTTGAGATTTGATTGTTGTTGATGTCACTCAGAGGAATTGACCTCCAGAACAATTGGCTGTGAGGACCAGCTCTGACTACAGTGGGAGAGCTGCTATGCAGGAGACACCCTATGAAGCAGGACTTGCTTCAGTGAGGCTCTGGTGCTGAGTCTTCCCCTTGTGTCACTTATGGATGTGTAGAGTTGCAATCTGACATTGACCACTGGATACACTAGATCTTGAGTCTCCAGGGAGGTGCAAAAATAGCCACTGTCTGGGGCCACCCAGCAGGAGCTACAGAGAGACCTTCAGATTCCTCATCTTTGTATCAGGTTTGGAAGTGACCAGATGAGTCCCAGCTATGAAGCAAGGTAGGCTGTTGCTGGTGCCAGGTCTTTGGCCTCTTATTGATAGGTTTGGAGCTTCCTGACCCAATTGCAGCTTGTTCAAGAAATTTTAGACTGAGCAAGGACAGGCCATTTATATGTGAAAGCCGATGCACCTAACTTGGGTAAGGTTGTAAATTGGATGAGGCGGGGACTTAGGGGATCACCAGGGCTGAGCAAACAGAAATGGCTGCCAGTTAGCTTTGAAACCAGGGAGGTCCCAGCATAGGAACAATTATCCCTGCAAGCACCTCTTTCTGGGAGATAGTTGCCCATGAGTTCCTACCAAGATGCCAGATAATCCAATACCTCCTCATATGTGTCTCTGATTCCGAGAGCCTCACCGTGACCCTGGAGCTCAGAGGAAGCAGGACCTTGTAAGTTTAGTTCATTGTGCCAGGCTTTTAAGAGGAACAGCTGAGTCTGTAGCAGCCAGTGTGTCACTGAGCCCCAATCTGCACTGGTTTTTATAGCCGGTAGTTCTTATTGCCCATAAGGATTTCTCTTCCCTGCTCTGGGATCCTTGGCTGAGGCTGGGACCTCTTCCCTCTCAGGTAGGTCTCTGTAGAGGCAATCACCCTCCTGATTAGAAAGCAGAACATGTGGGTGCCCGACCAGCCTGTTCTGTGCCTCTGCATCTCCTACCAGTCTCAGTGTGCTTTCTTCTTTACTTTTCTAATTGTAATACTTCCATTCAGCCTGCTTTCTAGTGTTTTTGAATGATGGTTGTTCTGTATTTTAGTTGTAATATTGATGTGGTTGTGGGAGGCAGTGAGTATGGATGTTTACCTATGCTTCCATCTTCAAATATCTCTAGTTTTACTTATTAAGGCAAGGCATTCATTTAGTAAAGTCTTAGTTTGCCTTATTCTTAAGAAGTGGATCATTCTGGAAACAACATGAGATTTAGGGTCGAGAGACCTGGGAAGAAGCCCTAACTTGCCACTTAGGAGCTTTATAACTTTGCTTAGATAGCTTCACCTATCTCTAAAATAAGCATAATAATAGCCAAATGATTCCTGCATTCATTTCTTTCCTTTATCATACCCTCTTTCAAAACACTTGAAGCAGATTATAAAAATTATATATGCAATAATCAAATGAGGCTGATAGAACAAACCTAGAAAATTAGAACAAAGAGAGAAAGCATGCAAACTATAAAGTTTGATAATAAGAGCCATAAATATGTATCACATTAGAATCTGAGGTTCCTAGAAGCTAGGACATGAAGGGAAAAATGAGGTTACATATATTAGATTTTCATTAAGGAAAGTATCAGTTCCTCAGAGGATAGAGAGCATTTTCTTGGCACTGCATTCTCAAAGAAATTGAAACCTTATAAGGATAATAATGCCCAGGGTTGTTAAGTGCATTAAGTATATATAAAAATCTTAATTGAAAACAATTATTTAATACCAATTAGTATATAAATATTAATTAAACACATTTCCAGAAACTACATTTGAAAGCAGAGAGCAAAGTTGTAACATCTTCATTCTTTTCCGTGGAAAGCATTTCTCTAATATACTCCATGCTTTCCTGCTTCACACGAGTAGATCACACAAAGCATAATATCACTTTTAGAGAGGATTGGAGAATTTATGATTATAAAGGCCAATGATTGTTGCTTGCAGTATCTATAGCTGTAAATGTAGGTGTGAAAAATGTATGTGGCATATCAGGATGAAAGGAAGGGACTATTCCAATGTGTCTGACACTCGCTTTCTAGGGGAAAAATCACTAATATTTATTTGCCTTTAAACAATTTGACTGTGACAAGGGTGGAGTGAAAAATGTGAAGCTATTGACCCTTTGGGCAGTGTAACACAGCTGCCTTTCTGTAAAGCTAATTAGTGACCTAAAGTTGAAGCAAGCAGTCTTTTCCCAAGTGATTTTCTTATCCCTCAGACAATCTTTATGGTCCTCATATCTTTTCCCCCTCAATGCCATGCAAAGTATTATTTTTTATTTCTGCCTCACAACTCAGTGGTCTAGGGGTGTCTTCTTATCAGCTTGTCTTTTACTCAATTTACTAAATCTGAGGGTGTAGTGTATAGAGGGATTATACCTCAATACTTTCAGGAAGTTCTCCAAGGGCACAGGGTGGTAGCTTATTCCAAAGCCTGTCAACATGAGCAGCACCAAGCAGTTGGATATCAGTTTAAAACCTTCTTCTACACTGTTTCATTTAATCTGCACAATTACTCTGAGTGTTAGTTATGATTTCCTTTTGCAGATAGAATAAGACATACCTGCATCTAAATCCATCCTCTGCTCCTTATTAGCTATGGGAGTTCAGGCAAACTAATATCTTTATGAATCAATGATCTCACCTACACTATTGAGTTGTGATAAAGACTGAATGATATGATCTGTGTAAACCACCTTTTAGTGTCAGACATAGACTGATATCTGATACAGAGTGATGATGATTATGATGTCACCTAAACAGAACTCTTGCAACCAAATAATAATGATGATGATGATGATGATGATGATGACGATGATAAATTACATATTAAAATGTTATAAATCACTGAAAATCACATTCTGTCTTATTAAAATATTTTCTTGGGTAATATTTTCTTAATATTACTTATTTGTAATTTGAATTAGTGGATGACAATGGTCTAAAAAAAAGAGTCCCCAAATACAAACCTACTTATCCAGAATAAACTACAGAATCTAATATTCTTGCTTTGAAGCTACCAAAAGGTGATTAAATCCAGTCAAAAGCATTTCTATCTCTAGCCGTTGTTGACTTGTGCTCTCTACTCAGTGGTAAATTCAAGGCAGCTACAATATTTCAGAACTATACATTTTAACCCCTAATATTCTCATATTATAGTAACCTTGACCATGAATGCACAAAACCTTTTCTTATTGGATTCATCTCAGAGGCATCCCATCAGTATTTTCCAGGCTATCATTGTTGAAATAGCCTAGCTTCTTCAGGCGGGTAAATTCTTTAAAGGTGATTTACCTGAAAACAAGCCACAAACATTTTTCAGCAGCCTCCTGATGTGCTGAGTCTTTGTCACTAGGTATTTCAATTTCTAAATGCACAACTTACTTTAAATTGCCAGCCACAGCCTCGAGAAATCATACAAGTGGCAGTCACCGTGTGTGCTGATGCAGCTCAGCCTTTTCAGCCAGCTCTAGTCAGACTTGGGGTGTGCTTTGATCTGTTCTCTGAGAAGCACATGATCTCTGTGTCAAATATCACCAGGGGCACTATTTCACAAGTTGTTGTGCCCAAGTTGCCATGAGGTCTGGGCAGGAGTTAAAACTCAGAATCAGGGATAGGTGTGCACTAGTAAACATTAAGCGCCAAGCACACCGGTGCCAAAGGAAAGCTGTAATACAGGCAGCAAGATAAGATATGGAACTAGAGCCCAGGCAGGGGGCAGAGGACAGGGACAGACAGCCTAGCAATTAGAATGGCCATCCCCTTGCCAAAGCTGTTGATGTTGGGCCACCTATGACTGATATTTGGGGATAACAATTTTTGTTAGTAAATAAACATTTATTAAGTTTTTTCATTTTATTAAATTAGAACACATACACTTGCTTAGAAACGTTAACAAACAATAAGAAATAGCTATGAGTTACATGCTAATGTGCTAAGGGCGACATCTATCCAGAGACATCCAAGAAGAAGGAATCTGGAAAGTCTTCCTAAGAAAGTGCCTTGTTCCTTAGATAGCCCCATACATGTTTTTTTGTTTTTTGTTTTTTGTTTGTTTTGCTTTAAACTTAAGTCTTACACATTTTAAGAGTAACTTCATTTTCCACATTTATCACATTGTTGATTACAGGATGCTGGTTCCTTCCCCTTCCCATCCTCTGGGTATTTTGAAAACAATGGTATTTATATTAATGTCTCACTGGTGCCACGTAAAGTAGAGATGGCTTAGAAGGCAAAGTATTTAAACACCTACAATTTTAGAGCCTTTCCATGTTATCAATAAATACACCTCCAACTCATTGGCTTAAGGCAGTTCATTCCTTTTTTGTTGTTGTTAATCATCGCCTGAGAATGATTTTATCCACTGATTTTTAGAAAGAATGGAAAGGAGGGTAAAGAGAGAGAGAGAAAAAGAGAGAGAGAGAGAGAGAGAGAGAGAGAGAGAGAGAGAGAGAGAGAGAATCAATGTGAGAGAGACATATTAATTGGTTGACTCCTACATGAGCCAGGACCAGGCCAAGGATTGAATCTGCAACCCAAGTATGTGCCCTTGACTGGGAAGAACCAAAGACTCTTCAGAGCACTAGTTAGTGCTCTAACCATTGAGAACACTGGCCAAGGTCCTTTAAAAAAAAAAAAATCTTTACTGTTGAAAGTATTATAGATGGATGTCCCCTTGACCCACTACACCTGGCTCTCGCTCCTTCCCACCAGACCTTCAGACCCATTTCTGATATATCCATTCCAAACAATTTTGGAAAATTTTAGATTTTAATAGGTTCCCACTAAAATTGTACTGCTTTTAGATCATATAAGCGTGCTTAGTCTATTTGTCTAAGCATTCTTTCACTTTAATGTCATATTTTTAAAACATTCTCATGATAACTTTATAGATGATTCATTTAGTGCATTTTTGTGTCTTGCATTCTTTAATGAATACGTTTACAAACTGTATAAGTTGATTAAGTAAATTAGCAAATACCCTGTGTTTGCTCCCTTTTAATGAGACATTGCTATTTGATAATAATAAAGTAAAGATCTGTTATGATTTTATTATGTACACGTCAAGAACAATGAAGTGCAATGGAGGATTAAATTCAATGGAGGATTAAATTAAACATGAGAGTAAGTATAAAATCACAGTACCTGGCTTATGTTAGCCACTTAAGAACTACTCATTCCTTTTAAAAGAAATAAGAAATTCATTTTCATCCCCAAATTGACATGGTTGTTATTTGACATACCTCAAGCTCACCAGATTTTTTGCTAACTTTTCATTTGACATTGAATCCTACCAGTCTTGTTTTTATGGTGTGGAGAAGATTAGAGAGTAGATAAAGAAATAATCTTCTTTAAAATCTGTGAGATTCTAATTTATTTTATTTATTTCCTTAACTCCAGTTAGAAACAGCCTCTGGAAAAAAAGAGCTATTTCCTCCTGACCCTATCCTGGTTCCAATGTGCCTTATCCTAAACCTCTGGCCTCTGTTTTCCGGCTTCTAGCCTCTGTATGCAAAGGAGGGAAGGAGGTACACCAGATGTACCAAGGCTTGCCTCTCCCCATAGGCTATGCTGTGGGCAAGGAAGCCAATTCATTTATGCTCAGATGTATTCTTTGCTTGAGCACCTCTAGGAGGTAGCTACCCAGATGAAGAGGCAAAGAATAAACAGAGAGAATAACCATGGGTCAGGATCAAGAGTGTAAATGTGAAAGAAGAGACTGGAATTTATTAAAATGGAAGGATTCAAGGTGAGCAGAAAGAAGGATTGATAGATAAGTTCTAGTCTGGTGGAAAAAAAAAATGTAGGCTTTGTTTGCCTACATTTACACATGAATAACTACAAAAGCCCAATAAGGGCCACAAGTGTCTATAAAGAGAAAGAATGGAGAGAATGAAAGTGTGCGTTATGGAGGGATGCCTTGGTGATAGAAGTCACTGAGATAATCTGGCTTCAGCCCAAGATCCAATTGTTTGAGCATCTATCTGAAAGAGACTAAAAAAGGTGTGGAGAATACAAATAAGGTATTAGAAGTATCAGATGTGCAACGCTGCAGATTTACTGTAAAAACAAAGTAGATGGTTGAGTCAGATAGTCGCAGGCGTCTTCAAACTACAGCCCGTGGGCCACATTGGGCCCGCAGAGGAGTCTGATCCGGCCCGCCAGGTTTTTTGGGCAGTGAGCGCAGCCGAGGTGTTACAGTAGGAATTACAATAGTAGTTCATATAGTCTGGCCCTCCAGCTCTCTGAGGGACCGTGATCTGGCCCTCACTTTAAAAAGTTTGAGGACCCCTGGTACTATGAAACACAACTGAAAGGTAATTAGCAAAGAAAAGTGAGAAAAATCAGTGCAGAAACAGGGTCAAAGATAAAATAACGTTAAGAAAAATGTAGAGAGAGGGAAATCATAAAAAATGATACAAGGAGGACTTAACTACTGTTTTGTAACAGGAGTCAATTACTTAACTAGGAGCAATCATCCTATCCTTCAGTTTTTCTTTCAACAATTATTCATGAGTTGCAATCTTATGATTTTACCTGGGCTTTCAGTCTCATAGTCATTCACAGACAGCTCACTCAATTTATCTTTTAGGTCCTCTTTTAGTTTTTAAAAGAGTTTATTTATTAGCTAAAAATCTTATCCAAGTGATACATCTTGAACTACCAACTACCAATTAAACAACTTCTCTAGATTGTGCCTATATTGGTCTCTTAGCTGTCACATGTCTGCCTGCCCACCTAGTGCTCATTATCCTTTCCTCTCTGCTAAGAGAAACCTGGTTCTTTCAACCAATAAGGGATCCTGACTTAGCCATAGAAAATAAGTCATGATTGGTCTAGGTCATTCATAATAATTTCATACCCTTCCCATTAATGGTTCAGTCCAGAGGTGGCATGTAACCAGAAACCTGGCATTTCCCTTATAATCAGTCATAAAAGGATCATACAGCAGCTTATCCCTTCCTGCATATAATATAGTGTCTGGGAAAGTGGCAGCCATCTTGCAACCATTAAGCAACAAATGCCAAGAATGGCAAAGTTGAAGGATGGAGAGCATCAGGCTCCTGTTTTATAGCTGAGTCTGTTTCAACAACAGCCAACTATCAACATGCCATATGTGTAAGTCACCAGTTAGCTGAATTTCATGTTACTTGAATCTAAAAGCATTTAATCTCTCACTCAGATCTAGACTGGGCAATCACCTATAGACTTCACTGTGTTTTTCCGGCCTTAAAAAAGCACATTTGTTCAGTTGTGCAAGAAACTATTTAAATGAGCTATCTCACACTAACATTTTAAAAATAATTTAGCACATTCTCTTGTTATAGATTTAGACAGCTTAAGCATAACAAATTGTACTGATATTTTCATGTGTTATCACATTCTTTTAGGGATACAAAAATGGATATAGAAGAAAATTAAAATATGTGTAAATTGCAGTTAAAAAAACCCTAAGTGTATGAATAAATGCAAAAACTTAAAAATTACATACCCATGTTGACTACTGATTAACCATTTTAAGTAAAATTGATTTAAGAGCATGTAAATTCATAGTTTTACTGACAATAAAAAGGCCATAAATGTGCTTTTAAGTTTACTTTGGGAACAAAATAGAGGGGTAAAATGACCTATCAGTGATCAGTCAACTAGACAGTAACAAGCAGGACTAGAGTATTTTCTTTCAAGCCAAAGCTTTCCACTTTGTCATACTGACTTCCTAAGGAGACTTAAAAACACTGTTGTAATTATTGAAATCTGTTCCCTAGAAAGCAGTGGCCATATGTGGCCTTTCCTGAAATGCACCTCTTTGTTATCATCAATTCTTCCCTTGTTATTTCTTGTCCTTTTTTGAAAACATTACACTAAATTTTTTTTAAAAAAATTTTCTTATTTTCTCACTATTCCATTTGTTTCCTCTATTTCGATTACTTAAACTTTCTCTTCTCTCTTCTGATTACCCATTTTAATCTTACTTCCTTTTAGTATTTTCTCCATTCCTGCACCAAATCCTAGCTTCTAGTCACCATTCCACTCATTCATTTTTTTCTTCTTATAGTGTTCAGCAACTCATATCCTTTTATTGGTTCTTTTTTTTCTATTTTCATTTTTAACCCCTTCTATTACACATGGTTTCTTAAAATACACAATTTAGCTTTGTATCTATTATTTTATCTGATATAGCCTGCCATTTTTCAATGTTAGAACAGTAATTCTCATAATTACCTGGACTTGACACTCTTGCCAACGCCATTGCATTCCACAGTTAACCCTCAGACTTCTGTCAGGACTGGAAAATAAAGACTAATGCAAATGCTAGGAGGGTTGGGGTGGCAGTGAGGATAAGCAAGCAGAATCCAGAGACAAGAAAACAATGGAGGAAATAAATAAAGAGAAGAGAACATAAACAGCATTATATCTTACTATTTCCAAACCATATTATTTCACACACAGTGACTGAAGTAAATGGGCAATATGCCAGGTTG